TCAATGTACAAGATTTACATAGACGAGGTGGAGACATGTGCATCATGAGTTCATCACTTCATGGCATGGGTCTCTATCAGGTGTGCCGCCAATCTGTAGGACATATGAGGAAAACAAGGGCAATAATTAAATGTTCTCATTATCAAAATATATAGTCTGGCACTCATAGCATTATATTATCTCGTCCGCCGGAGTGGGAATATATAGATACTACTTTGTCAGTTTTACTGTCAATTCTCCAAGCCTATTCCCAGTTTTACTGTTTTATGCCACACGCTTTTTATACCATGTCATATGGAGAGAGAGAACGAAACTATCCTTACAACATACTCTCTCCATTTCCAAATATCTAGGATTCAACTAAGTCAAGCTCTGTGAAGTTTAAGCAAATTATATGTACAGTTTATAGATAAATCTGTACAACTAGATTCACGTCCAAACATATTTAAATATCAATTGATTTTGTAGCAAATTGATGATATATTTATTGTAAGAATAATTGACAGTCAAAATACACTTGTAAAGACTTTTCCAAATTTTCGTATTTACTAGTAACTACGATAAAGGGCGTACCCAGTGCTTGCAGAGAGTTCCCGCTCTGTGTGGGATCTGGGGAAAGGTGTAAGTGGCAAGCCTTACCCCTACCCTCGCATGTGTAATGTGAGGAGACCGCGACTCGAACCCGGGACCTTCCGGTCACAGGCGGTAAGACTCTACCGCTTGCACTAGGCCCACCATTCTACTAGTAACTACGATGATGAATTCATTATTTACAAATCCTATGACGATGACATGTAAAGACTTGTAAACCAACACATGGATGGGTTTTAGGAGCTGGTGCAAATGAGGTGTTCTATAGTAATGATTGTAGCTAAATCCTTGTAGCGTTGTAGCGTAATTGATAACCTTTTAGTTATCTTGTCAACGACCGAAACCAACACAATGTTATGCTGGTGCCTGCAATGTTACAATGGGATTGGCCGTGTTGGGATGTGTCATGATAAAGTAGGAACCGCATGGCTGCCATCGAAAAAGGGGTCGAGGAGGAGAAACAGCAGAATGGGTGAGATGTGATGCTAAACTCTCAAACTCATAAAGGGCAAGGCATTGAGATGTGGGGGTCTTGGCCCATGTTTACTGAACTAGGGGCATGGGAGAATTTTTTTTTTTCTTCCATGCCGCATATTCATATATTTGCTAGTGCAATATAAAGATACTCCCTCCATCTGAAATCGTAAGTCGTTGTAGCTTTTTGAGATACATAGCTTTTGCTATGTACCTAAATATATATATTATGTTTAACTACATAGTAAAAGCTATGTGTCTAAAAAAAGTCATAACGAGTTACAATTTGGTATGGAGGGAGTAGAAAACTCTTGCACATTTTACTGGTATATGCATGTTTCCGTTATCATCCCAAACACATTGGGTTGAACCGCATGATTACAGCTCTCCCGGCAGCTCGCCCCAGCCAGCAGCATCATCAGGAAGCGGTCGTTAGGAGAACGTAAAAGCCTACACTACGAGCATGATAACATCTATGTATGATGCTCCCTGTCCCCCCTTTTTCACACTAGTATATTACCCGTGTCAACGCTACGGTGCCATCTGTAAACACAAATCAACCAACAAAGAGCATAATAACTCAGACAACAAAATAATAAGCATAATAACTCTGTTAAAACTTAAAAGTGAGATGAAATTCAGATGAGCACATACTAAGAAACATAATAACTTAGCTAACAAAAAAAGCATAACACTTGTACGTTTTATGCACGGCTAATGTGTTAATAATGATATGAAGTTCTCTCCAATTATGTGTTTTTTATTCAATTGAGCAACACCAACTGGCAACTGAGGTTATCATCATACATGGAAATGTGCTACAAAGAATCATCTCCAGCACCTTCTGATTGAGCAGCGACATCATCCGTGCAGTCCTTAAATCCACCATGTGAAAAAAAAAATCAATTTTACACGCAAAAAGGCGCTCAAAAATCAACAAGCATAGGCTGAGCAAACAAAAAAGCAAATCGAACCTGGCACCTGCTTCGTGGAGCCTGAAAATGGCAGTGCTTTGCTTGGTGCAGCAGCAGCAGAAGAAAGAGCTCTGCGTTTGCATCATCAGCCTCCTGTTGGCGCCCAGTACTGCACTGCACTGCAGCGTTGCTGCTGGCTGCTCAGGCGCACCAGGGAGGGCGAGCAGCGGCCGCCCGATGACCATCTATGCAGGAGCTCGCCCAGGCACAGCACGGCGTACACCACCACGACGAGCTTGAGCAGGAGCGGCAGGTACTGCGAGAGCTCCACGCTCAAAGAGTGCAGCACCTGGCAGAGAAGGAACAGAGACAAACGTGATCAGAGAAATGAGAAAAAATATTAACCGTCCCGTCCGAGGGCGAGGAGTGGCAGCCGGCCTGACGTACAATGATAACACATAAAAGAATGAGTGACATCTGGTATAGCACGGCAATATCAATCATGAATCAATACCTGAGCTTGCCAAATGGTTTCATGACAGTCAGCCAGTGCCCTGTGCACCTATATCACTTGCCCCTCAAATCTGCAATCCATCAAAGCAAAGAAAAAAATTGTTTGACGATTTAATTTATTAGTCTCCAAGTCTATCGCTGTGCTCAAGATATATTTGTTTAACACAGAAATATACATTGTCATCATCTTATTATTGTTTGTCACAAGACCTGTCAAAATACAGAATTTAAGCAGATATAAGAAGAACGGTGTTTCCCTATGCGTACCTAATAATGATATAACAATAGTACAATACTACCCAACCAGAAGACAATACATGGGTGAGATCTAAATGACGTGAATAAGCACAAACCTGTATGATGACGAGCCCTCGGCATTAGTGGATCTGACCCCGTTCCCCCGCCGAACGCAGATCCGGCTCCTCCTCCACTTCCTCCTCCTCAACGGCTGAGGCGGAGGTCCAGGCCGCCCCGACCTCCTGGTTCATGTTGATCAATGTCTATGGGTTGATCTGGATGTCATCCTTCCTTCCTGAAGGATCCATTTGGTCGCTCTCGATCCTGATCGACAGCGTCCAAGCACTTTGTGTCATGTTTGAAGTGAGCTTGGTTATTATTATAAACGGTTTACTGACTGGTATGAGTATACATCAGCAGCAGTAGTACTGTTGCAATCGATAGCTGCTTACTTCGGGTCTTTCAAGAAAAACTGCTTACTTCATAATTCGGTCAAACCAATAGATTCATTACTTCATAAATCAAACAGTAAAACATTTGCTGTATCTCCCTTCAACTTGTTAATTCAGATGCATACAACTGATCCATCCAAGAACAGTGCCATGATACATTCTTCAAACCAATAGATTCGTTAGCACAATTAGCATTAACACTTCCACAGGAGAAAAAATCAACCACATTCACGTGGACGCAGATGCAATTTATCTGTGCTACGGACATGCTGAAACATTTCAGGGGCCTGTTTTAGAACTAAAGTCTAAAACTCATAATTTGGTCAGTTAGATAATCAAATATATTGCATCAGATTCAGATGGCCTATATCTTCTCTTTCAGGCAAGAGAGGACAAAAGCATATGCACTATGTGTCTAATTCTGCTAGTACACGGCCAGCTCGTTACTACCCTCAATATCAAGTTCGCTACAATTAAACACCACCAGGATGCATCCGGATTCCTAGCCTAGTAGAACTGAACTGAGCTCGAGGAGTTTCTCGAACATATGAAGAATAATCATATCGAATTTCCCACTCTTCCAGTCTCCAAACTGTTGTTTGACTGCTACTTACTACAGACAGGATCATACCCAGACTAAATCACAGTGTATTCCGAATACCACAATACAAGACCCAATCCGGCGATAGCTGCCGATTCCCCTCCCAGCAACACGAAAAAAGAAGACAAGAGGATGGCATTAGGGCCACAGGGGCGTGGCGTATCGCGAGTTCGTCGACGTCGATCTTGACGAAGATGGCGTCGGTGATGCGGGAGGCTAGCTCCTTGAAGGCCGGCTCGATGAAGTGGCAGGGCCCGCACAAGGACGCCGAGAACGGGGGCAGGGTCGCCGCCGGCGAAGGCGACGCGAGCGGCTGCAGAGGGTGATGCCTTCCACCCGCCGATGGTGCAGTGTTAGATCCTCAGGTTGACCGTCCCATCGGGCAGCGTCTCCGGCTTCACGAGCGGATCAGGCGGGGCGGCGGACGGAAACCCTAGCCGCGTGAGGCAAATCGCGACCGCGTAGGGAGTCGTTGGCGTCCGTCATTCCGTCAAGCAGTTTTTTTTTCGTTTTTTTCGGACGAAGGAGGGAGTCGAACCCTGGTTGTCGCGCGCGCGTGGGGATGACTGCCAACTGCCGAGCGGGGGATGGGCTGAGGAGGTTGACACACTCCTGGACCGTTCGATTTGAGGGAGTAAGGAGAGAATGCTCGGACTAAATCTAGAGAGTTTTATTTTGAAGATGTTGAGAGAATGCTCAAACTAAATCTGGACAATTCATTTTGAAAAGATATTTATTTTTCTAGGTGGATGGAGGAAGAACTTCTCAGCGGGGACGTTTGTTGGTGTGGATGTAGGAAAGAAAATATTGATGAATTAGTAGAGTAGATTTTCTTATAATAACCATGGACTCCTAACTCATGGCTTTGCCCCTGCCGAATGGCTTTGCAGTCTGCGTCGTCATCATCAGACCTCCATTCCATATGTGATTGTGATCCATGGCTAGGCTAGCCGTAGTATTCTGCCAGCGAGAGCCTTTTGAATTAAATTGCGGCCCATGGCCTTGGGCATCAGATTTGGACTGGCTTTCTTTCTGCACGCACTCCCACACCACACACTCGCCACCACTGTCTTAAAAAGCACTAGTACTGTACTACTAATAAGCTGCACTGTCCTCTGTCCTGACGCCCACGTAAACATATTTAGGCGTGCATCCCTTTGCAGTGTTTGCTTACTTACTTCATTGGAGAGAGAGAGAGAGAGAGAGGAAGACAGAGAGATGGGCGTGGCGACGGTGACAGAGCTGAAGCAGAGCATCTCCGGGAAGAGGACATTCCGGCCGAGCCTCATCAGCCGCCACGCCAATGAGTGGTAACTCATTCATTCTGCTTCCTTCCTCGGATCCTGTGCTCCGATCCTGTCGCGAACTCAGCTGAGCCCTCTCTTCGTACTACGTCTTGCAGGCCTCCGACTGACGTCTCCAGCGACCTCACCGTCGAGGTCGGCACCTCCAGCTTCGCGCTCCACAAGGTGAGAGCTGAGAGCTCCTTGCCAAAACGAAAACGAAAATGAAAACGATGTGCTAACGCCGACGGCATAGCTGTTCGCGCAGTTCCCGCTGGTGTCCCGGAGCGGCAAGATCCGGCGGCTTGTCGCGGAGGCCAAGGACGCGAAGCTGGCGCGGCTCAGCCTGCACGGCACCCCGGGGGGCGCGCCGGCGTTCGAGCTCGCCGCCAAGTTCTGCTACGGCGTCCACGTGGACATGACGGTCGCCAACGTCGCCATGCTGCGCTGCGCCGCGCACTACCTGCAGATCACCGACGACTTCTCCGACAAGAGCATGGAGCTCCGCGCCGAGTCCTTCCTCCGCGACGCTGTGCTCCCCAGCATCGCCAGCTCCGTCGCCGTGCTCCGCAGCTGCGAGGCGCTGCTCCCGGCCGCCGAGGACGTCGGCCTCGTGCCCCGCCTCATCGCCGCCATCGCCAGCAACGTGTGCAAGGAGCAGCTCACGTCGGGGCTGTCCAAGCTGGACCAGTGCGCGGCGCAGCTGAAGCCCGCGGCGGCGTTCGCCGACCTCGACTCGCCGGGCGACTGGTGGGGCAAGTCGGTGGCCACGTTCGGCCTCGACTTCTTCCAGCGGCTGCTGTCCGCGGTCAAGGCCAAGGGGCTCAAGCAGGAGACGGTGACCCGGATCCTCATCAACTACGCGCAGAACTCGCTGCACGGGCTCATGGCCAGGGACGTGCACAGATGCGGCGGCGGCGGTGGCGCGGACGCTGACGCCGTCAAGAAGCAGCGCGCCGTCGTGGAGGCCATCGTGGGCCTGCTCCCGGCGCAGTCCAAGAAGAGCCCCGTGCCGATGGCCTTCCTCTCGGGGCTCCTCAAGACGGCGATGTCGGTGTCCGCGTCCAGCATCTGCAGGGCCGACCTGGAGAAGCGGATCGGCATGCAGCTGGACCAGGCCATCCTGGAGGACATACTCATCGCCGCTGGCTCGGGCGCGGGCGCGGCCACGCCGGCCGGGCACGGGCAGCAGCACGCGCTGTACGACACGGACGTGGTGGCGCGCATCTTCTCGGTGTTCCTCAACCTCGACGACGACCACAACGAGGAGGACGCCGGGTTCGACTACGACAGCCCGCGGTCGCCCAAGCAGAGCCTCCTGGTGAAGGCCGCCAAGCTGCTGGACAGCTACCTCGCGGAGGTGGCGCTCGACTCCAACATCCTCCCGTCCAAGTTCATCTCCCTCGCCGAGCTGCTCCCGAACCACGCTCGCGTCGTCACCGACGGCCTCTACCGCGCCGTCGACATCTTCCTCAAGGCACGCACCGATGCAGCCTGCTTCAATTTCCTTCGCCTAGCCAGAACCAGAAGGCAGCTAGCTTAACGTGCTTGTGCTTGCCGATCTGATCTGATCTGACTGCGTGCAAGCAGGTGCACCCGAACATCAAGGAGGCGGAGCGGTACCGGCTGTGCAAGGCGATCGACTGCCAGCGTCTGACGCCTGACGCGTGCAGTCACGCGGCGCAGAACGAGCGGCTCCCGGTGCAGATGGCGGTGCAGGTGCTCTACTTCGAGCAGCTGCGGCTGCGGAGCGCGATCCAGTCCGGGGGCGGCAGCATGGGCGGGCACGACGCGGCGCTCTTCTTCGGGTGCGCCGCGGCCGCCACGTCGGTGCAGGGCAGCGTGAACATGCGCTCAGGCAGCGGCGTGGGCAGCGGCGCCATGTCGCCGCGGGACAACTACGCGTCGGTGCGGCGGGAGAACCGGGAGCTCAAGCTGGAGGTGGCGCGGATGCGGATGCGGCTCACGGACCTAGAGAAGGACCACGTGAGCATGAAGCAGGAGCTGGTGCGGGTCGGCCCCGCCAACCGCCTACTCCGGGGCTTCGCGCGCAGCCTCAGCAGGCTCTTCCGCATGCGCCCCGCCGCCGAGCCCGGGCTGCAGCAGCTCGGCGCCAAGGTCACCGCCGACGCCAAGGTGCTCTTCCAGCGCCGCCGCCGCCACTCCATCTCATGATCTCGGTCCCTCGGAAGCGGAGACGGCGCCCATCGGGCACGCCGCCCATCGAGCTTGCTCGCGAGGATGAGTGGCCAAGCTCCTGCTGTACGTACAGCAAAGTTCGCGTGTGCAACTGTGCATAGCATACAAGAAGAGAGATGGTTTGAGTGAGTGCAGTGCAGTGCAAATTTACTTCTTCCCGGATTTCGTGCAGCCATCGCATGGTCTTCTGCTGATGAAAGTCATGGCGTTCGACACAGCATGCGATGCGATGCGATTCATGTACGTATATGGATGGATGGATTATGGAACGGTTTCGAGTGGTGTATGACTGTATGTATCATTGAGTGTGCAGAGTATCTGAATATGGAGAGATTGGGATCAGAGGAGACATGGCTATTGTTTTCTCTGTAGTTTCGGCCCAAATTCCGTCTTCTTTAGGTAAAATTATTCAGCAAAGTAGACAGACGATTTTAATTTCTTCTTTAGTGAATTTGCTCAGCAAGTAGAAAATTTTAAGTTTAAAAACAAGGCGAAATTGTCCAACAAAGTAGGAAACTTGATAAAATCTTGTTGAGGCGAAACTGTTCAGCAAGGCAGCCAAAATTCATTCAGGCGAGCGATTTTAATTCCTTCTTTAAGCGAAATTGTTCAGCAAAGTAGACATGCTGTTTAATTTCTTCTTTGGTAGAATTGCTCAGCCAGTAGAAAATTTTAAATTTTAAAATAAGGCGAAATTGTTCAAAGGTGGAATTGTCTCTAGAGGAAGGGCTTGAACCTTCGACCTAGTTAAATTGCTCAACAAGTACAAAATTTTAAATTTAAAAATAAGGCAAAATTGTTCAAAAGTGGAAGAATTATCGCTAGAGGAAGGGCTTGAATATTTGACCTAGTGAATTGCACAGCAAGTAGAAAATTTTAAATTTAAAAATAAGGTGAAATTGTTCAAAAGTGGAAGAATTATCGCTAGAGGAAGGGCTTGAATCTTCGACCTAGTGAATTGCTCAGCAAGTAGAAAATTTTATAAATTTAAAAATAAGGTGAAATTGTTCAAAGTGGAATTATCGCTAGTGGAAGGAATTGCTGGCCAAATTGTTCAAAAGTAGGATTATCGCTAGCCGCTAGAGGAAGGAATTGCTCAGCACGTAGAAAATTTTGAATATAAAAATAAGTAGAAATTGCTCAAAAGTGGATTTGAGCTTATTAGAAAGTAAAGTAAGGCAGCAAGTAAGTAGAAGGAAAAATTGCTCAGCAAGTAAGTAGGAATTGGGTAAAAAAGAGTTTATCGCTAGAGGAAGGGTTGCTCAGCAAGTAAGTAGGAATGGGCCGAAGGGCTTGAACCTTCGACCTTGGTTAACAGCCACACGCTCTAACCAACTGAGCTACTCAGCTATACTGCTTTTAATTTCAAACAAGCCTACTTAGGCACATGACCGCAACCCATCAAGATAAAAGTTAGGCCTTCTAACGAGGAGAAACTGGTCTATTTATGAGACGCAGACGCAGGTTCGAATTGCGATTCGGCCCGTAACGAGGTTTATTGCCCCTACAAGGCCCACCGAACCTACCTTGCAATCCACCGGTTCTGCCAAATCTAAAAAATATATAGTTCAAATTAGATTTTGAAAACGTAGCGACATTTATATGACTTTCAAATACCTATAATAAAAATATATTTAATAACATTTAGTTATATTATTTAGCATCATAAATCTTAATAACTTGGTGTAGTATAACCTTAAATAAACTTTTTTTTTGAAACGGAACCTCAAATAAACTTTAGATTTTTACTTACACTATACTAAAGTTACCTACTCCGTACTTTTTAGGACGGAGAAACTACTGTTCCAAAAAAGAGTAGAATGAGTGACAAAAATAAGCAATCACCAAGAATATCCGGCGTCCTTGAACACCGCTAGAATGCGGGTTTCTCAATTACGTGAAGCTCTCTAAGATGCATGTCCGATCCATTCACGCTATATAGTATATATCCAAAATGAGCTAATGCCGTTTAGGCCTTTAGGGTCATCGTGCAGGTGCTCTTCTACGATAAGTGGATAACGCATGCGTGACGAGTGACGACAGTACCTACACCTTGCTTTTAGCATGAAAAGTGGTGTTAAGGCGTTGCTTGCCAAGACAGGAAGGCAGCAGGGCCGTCTTAGGGGGGGTGGACAGCAGGTGCGATAACAGAGGGGCCATGCCATGAGAGAGCCCATAAGTATATGTATTTGTCCCATTGAAATGAAAATTTAAAGGCTCATAAACTTAGTACAAGCAATCATGAATTAACCTACCGTAACTTCTTATTCAGATATTCAGCTATTCCCGATAGCTTCCAACATATACTGCAAGTTAACTATCATTAGTAGTACGATACACTTTAATCATTATATCAAGGGCTTGTTTGGCATGGTTCCTCTTCAAGTGCTCCTCTCTAGCTTATTAGTAGTATTATACACCATAATTGTCATATTAAGGGTTTGTTTGACATGACTCCTCTTCAAGTGCTCCTACGAAAGAATCCAAGCACTTGAGAAGGAGCCACAAATTGCAGCTCCCCCTTCAATCCCCAAAACAACTCCGGTCACTCTATTGTTCCCAGAAAACGGATCCTCCTCCTAAAGTGTTTGGTACGGCTCCTCCGTAGAATTTCTGCTAGAGCCAGAGCCGTGCCAAATAGGCCCTAAAAATTAGATTGCTAGGCCCTTTGTCGATTTCTTGTCCAAGGGCCCTTTAAATTGTTGGGATGACCTGAAGGCAGACAGTAAGGAGGTCAAGAACAAGCTGTGACTCCGAGCCATTCCATCGAGTTTGGACGATGATGAATGGAGCATGGAGGGGTAGATTTGGACTAGGATTGGAGTATCTCATCAATAGATTAGGGGTACAGCGGATTTACATTTTCATAGTTTGGAGGACAAATATAAGAATCACATCATATATAGTTTAGGAACCAACCATGCAATTATGAGATGTGGATCCGCATATGAGTTCCACGCTGGAGCGCCACATCAGCAGCTAATTCGCTATGATGTAGCTGCTTTGGAGCAAGGTTGGGGTAGTTACATAATTTAGAGACCTAGATATGTAGTTTGATAGCGAATTGATCATAGATCCGTTGGTTAGGTTCTCTGTGGTGGAACCTGCCCACCCGGATTCAAGTCCTCGACTTGGTACGGGTGCTCGTATTTTCTTAGATTTATTCCAGGATTTAACGGCGCTATGCTTTCAGTGGTAGGCGACGTCCCCGTCGATAGCGAGGTGCCTGTGGTGACTTCGTGAATTTCAAAATTTGCCGGCTCAGTCATTCGAAGATGATCATAAGGGTAGGATTTACGTATATGTGTTCATAGGGGTAATTATGCGTGCGTGTTGTGGATGTCTACGTTGTCCTGTGTAATTCAAAAAAAAGATACATAGTTTGATAGTTTGGAGACCTAGACAAATATGGCATAATAGTTTAGGGCCACCAGTTTAATTTTTGTACTCTCTTAGGCAGGGTCTGTATTTGTCACGAATTATCAACGGGAGGCAGCACCATTAATTTTATGGCATTGTGGTAATTAATCATGAGCGCGAGTTTAATCGCCAAATCCGTTCTATCCATTACGTCAGCTGGACATCTCCGAGCTTCTAGAGATGTACAACCACAGGTGGATCGGTTATGATGCAGTTATGCAGGCGTGCACCGATCTGACGACCTTTTCTTCTCCAGTGGGCTGGCCGCACGCGCGGCCAGCCGTACTGTATTAGCCGGGCAGCTAGAGCACGCAGCAGGCCACCTCCTCAATTTAACATGGTGGTAGGAGTACGACTCGACCGGCCGGCCGCCGCAGTCAAACCGTACGATAGATAAGACGGATGCAAAGTCTCACTTCACATCGCGGAAAAGCAACCGCGCAGCAGTTTGACCACCATGTGCACCCCTATGTTCTCGCATCACATCATCAGCGCTGCGCCTGCGGCTGGACGGTGTAGCAGCAACACCGCACCAGGCATGCACCAGGCAAAAGGAATAAAGAGCGTGTTCGGTTGGCTGGTTCGTTTTGTCGTTGATTCATGAAGAAATATTGTTAGTTGGTTTGTGTGAGAGAAAAATATTATTCTAATTAGAAATTTATAATTATTTACGATAAGCCACAGTCCAACAAAAAGCTGAAAAGCACGTCGTGAGCGTCGACAGCTGACAATGCAAAGACGATCAGCACTGGTGGTCCCCAAGAAAAGGTAGCAAGATGGACGCATTCCGGAAACTAGAGGCTATTAGATGACCACCTCGATATATTTTAGTCAAACGAATAGGTCATATATTCTTATAATAAATCGTAATATATGTTTTATAAACGAGGCATATATTTCTGGTAATAATATATAGGAGTAGAGTATACATAATTAGTAGTAGTTCGGTACACGGATGGCTGCGCACACAGCACTACATGCAGCAGGCACCAAACGAGCGAGCGGCATGTGGTGTGTAGTAGGCTAGTAGCTTCCTCCTGGCCACAGAGTGGGTACTCTACTATCTTCGGTATTATCTGCTCCGCGACTCAGCTAGGCTTTTGGAAAAGGTTTGCATCCATCATGCCGTTTCGGTCGCAGACGGTGTTCAGATGTTGATTGGAGTAGGTAGTCTCGAGTCTCACAACACACCTACTACGCGTGTCCTTATTTATCCTTAATAATAAAAAGGTAAGATTTTAGCCCTTTTTATTTTCGTCTGAGCCGTTTTTCGTCTGGCCCATTCTACTAGCCAACTGTCCCACTCGCTTTATTTTGGCCCAAACGCGCATTCGCAGTCTTCCCGCACGGCCCGCTCGCGGCGCCGCTTGCTTCTCCCTCGCGTGGACGACGACCGGCCTTCCAGGCCCTCTCCCTCGCGTGGATGCTGTTCCTCCGTAATAAAAAAAAGGAAATAAAAGTTTCGCATCGCCGCCGCCAGCACTCGACGCCGGGATGGAAGCGAAGGCAGCCGAGGCGCGTCGGCGTCGCGGCTGCGCCCACGCGCATTCGTCGCC